TTTTTTGTATGAATAAAAAATCAAAATAGAAAGCAATAATAATATAAGAGGGGCCTAGAGATGTGACTAATGAAACAGAGCATATGTTATTTTTAGTGCCACGAATGTCTACCTTGTTTATTCTGGACCCTATTTTGAAATTGGCATCTTTTTTATTTTGCGTGAAATTGGCCAAATTGCCAGTTTCTGACCACCATATTGGGTAGTCCAAATTAGTAAATGGGAGGTTTCTTGTACTCAGCTGATAGATAAAACGGAGTTCTAAGAAATAGCTATGAGTTTGCTCAACTGGAACAATGGAATTGGCTGAAAATAGGGCTCAAAGTCGGCGAAATCGCCGATACGCATATGTCGCCGAGACCGCTAACTTCGCGGGAGCATAATTCCACGAGTTTTCGACCAAATTTCGAACTTTTGGTGTCATTACCATCGGGAAAAGATTCTCTATCATTTCATAAGAAAAAATAATTTTTTTTTTTTCAAAAATTGAGCGACATAGAATGACAGTTTCAGAGAGGGGCCTGAAACAGTCAAAGGGTTAAGAAGCGTAGTGGCATACATAGTGTGATAAGGCATGGTGAGGCTGTCAGTTCGGACCACAAAGCGGTTGAAAAATATGTGCATGAATTCAAGGAGTACATAGAGGCTGAAGGACTGAAACCTGAACAAGTGTTTAATTGTGATGAAACAGGCCTGTTTTGGAAGAAAATGCCAAGCAGGACCTACATTACTGAGGAGGTAAAGGCACTCCCAGGACATAAGCCTATGAAAGACAGGCTTACTTTGTTGATGTGTTCCAATGCTAGTGGTGATTGCAAAGTTAATTATTATTATTATTATAATCAAGGGGGAAGCGCTAAACCCGGAGGATTATACAGCGCCTGGGGGGGGGGATGTGGAAGGCATTCAGGCTTAATTCGGGGAACTGGAGCACAGATCCAATTCCCTAAATCAAGAGCCCCTGACCAACATCAAGGAACCTTCCTTGAGGGGTTGCAAAGTTAAGCCTTTATTAGTGTATCACTCTGAAACTCCCAGACCGTTCAGGCAAAAGAATGTCCTCAAGGAGAATTTGTGTGTGCTGTGGAGGGCAAACAGTAAGGCATGGGTCACTAGGGACTTTTTCTATGACTGGTTACACCATGCATTTGCCCCCAATGTGAAAGATTACCTAACTGAAAAGAAATTAGAACTTAAGTGCCTCCTGGTGTTAGACAATGCCCCTGGTCATCCTACAGACGTGGCAGAGCGACTTTATGGGGACATGAAATTCATTAAGGTGAAGTTTTTGCCTCCTAATACCACTCCTCTCCTGCAGCCCATGGACCAGCAGGTTATTGCAAACTTCAAAAAACTGTACACAAAAGCTCTGTTTGAAAGGTGCTTTGTAGTGACCTCAGAAACTCAACTGACTCTAAGAGACTTTTGGAGAGATCACTTTAATATCCTCAATTGTGTAAACCTTATAGGTAAGGCTTGGGAGGGAGCGACTAAGAAGACCTTGAACTCTGCTTGGAAGAAACTGTGGCCAGAATGTGTAGACAAAAGGGATTTTGAAGGGTTTGAGGCTAACCCTGAGAGGATTATGCCAGTTGAGGAATCCATTGTGGCATTGGGAAAGTCCTTGGGGTTGGAGGTTAGTGGGGAGGATGTGGAAGAGTTGGTGGAGGAGGACAATGAAGAACTAACCACTGATGAGCTGATAGATCAACTTCAACAGCAAGAGGCCAGACCTGAGGAAACTGGTTCACAGGAGGGGAGAGAGAAATTGAAGAAGTTGCCTACTACAAAGATTAAGGAAATCTGTGCAAAGTGGCTTGAAGTGCAAACCTTCATGGATGAAAATCACCCTCACACAGCTATTGCAAGCCGTGTTTGGTGATTATTACACTGACAATGTTGTGAAACACTTTAGGGAAGTCATAAAGGAACGAGAGGTACAGGCCACTATGGACAGATATGTTGTGCGAAAGAAGTCCAGTGACTCTGAAGCTGGTCCTAGTGGCATTAAAAGAAGAAGGGAAGTAACCCCAGAAAAGGACTCGACACCTCAAGTCTTAATGGAAGGGGATTCCCCTTCTAAACACTAACATTCTCTCTCTCCTCCTCCCATCCCATCAATCATCACCAATCTTCAATAAAAGTAAGTGTCATGTAATTGTGCATGCCTTTTTCAGTTTGTGTGTATTAAAATTAACATTTCATGTGGTAAATTTTTTTTTTTCATACTTTTGGGTGTCTTGCACGGATTAATTTGATTTCCATTATTTCTTATGGGGAAAATTCATTCGCATACCGATCATTTCGCATAACAATGAGCCCTCTTGCACGGATTAAAATCGCTATGCGGGGGTCCACTGTACTATGGTCGGAAAGATAAGCAGTAGAAGAAGTCGGTCTTAAAGTAAAGAATTTAGTCCATTGTGTGGTCCGAAACTGAGTTTGGAGAGGGAGTGCATGACGTGTCAGTCTTTTCCAAATAGAATGGGAAGGTAACGAAGTAACATCACCAGGAGATTGTCGTTGGCGTTTAGAAGTGGGACCAGAGTTGGTCCAACGTGGGACGGGCCGGCGATTCGAAAATTGCCGCACCATAGAGGAAGAGGCCGGAAGCATAGTCAAAGGAGAGCGGAGGTCAGACAAATCAAAGGAGTCAGTCGAAACCCCAGCACCTGAAGCGGGCGACGAAACAGCACCAGCAAGAGGTACAGGGGCCTTAGGAGTGTCCAAAGTGTGACCAAAAGACGAGGCGAGGTCAGAACGGGGTGCGGTAACAATAAGGGGCCTGGGGATAGCGGGGTCATGGATTGGGGACTCCATGGTTAGGTTACTTCTTTCTTTTTGTTTTTATAAAAAAAAAAAAAAAAAAAAAAAAAGAAAATAATAAAAAAACGAATAAAAAAAGGGGGACTGGGGGGAGGGATAGTTCCTAGGAGGAATGAAAGGGCCAAATCTCCCTCCGCACCCAAGAGGACCTCAGTACTTGCAAGTACACAGATGCAGCATGGACCCGTGCCATACCCTACCCTCATGCCAGTAAACCAGCAATCCGGGATAGCAAACCTGACATCTGCCACGCTACCTCGGTGGGACAAAAGAGAGGGCGGCCGGATACTGCCCACAAAGCACACCTCCTTCAGCCACCGCCCGTGGAATCTGAAAGGTGGCTTCCGAGAGATACACCCGTTGCGTGAAAGACACCCAAACCACCCTCCGGGATACCGGAGAGGGGTCAGGACATCCCCAGGCAATCCAGATTCCACGGCAAACTACGCCACCGCCAAGAACCTCAACGATTGGGATGGACCCCGTACCCTTTCCCCTACCTAGGAACTAGCGCGCCTGTGGGAAAAATCCCAAAGGCCAAAAAAGGAAGGGCAAAAGGGAGAGGTGGGGAGGAGGAAAGGAAAAAGGGGAGGATGGGATAGGGAAGGGGGGATTGGGGGGTAATTCGGCTCGGTCTGAGGAAGGAGACCGACAGGTCTAATTCCTCAGACCAAGAGCCTCTTTACCATGCCAAGGAGCCCCCCTTGAAGAGGTTCTTAACTAGAAAATAAGTTCCTTCAACATTCCTTTCGTTTTAATTTTATCACTGCCTTCTAACAGTTCATATAAGTCACCTGCCGCACACAAGACGCCTCACATGTAAGTCACCTGCCGCACACAAGACACCTCACATATAAGTCACCTGCCGCACACAAGACGCCTCACATGTAAGTCACCTGCCACACACAAGACGCCTCACATGTAAGTCACCTGCCGCACACAAGATGCCTCACATGTAAGTCACCTGCCGCACACAAAACGCCTCACATGTAAGTCACCTGCCGCACACAAGACGCCTCACATGTAAGTCACCTGCCGCACACAAGACGCCTCACATATAAGTCACCTGCCACACACAAGACGCCTCACATATAAGTCACCTGCCGCACACAAGACGCCTCACATGTAAGTCACCTGCCGCACACAAGACGCCTCACATGTAAGTCACCTGCCACACACAAGACGCCTCACATGCAAGTCACCTGCCGCACACAAGACGCCTCACATATAAGTCACCTGCCGCACACAAGACGCCTCACATATAAGTCACCTGCCACACACAAGACGCCTCACATATAAGTCACCTGCCACACACAAGACGCCTCGCATGTAAGTCACCTGCCACACACAAGACGCCTCACATATACATCACCTGCCACACACAAGACGCCTCACATATAAGTCACCTGCCGCACACAAGACGCCTCACATGTAAGTCACCTGCCACACACAAGACGCCTCACATATACATCACCTGCCACACACAAGACGCCTCACATATAAATCACCTGCCACACACAAGACGCCTCACATATAAGTCACCTGCCACACACAAGACGCCTCACATATAAGTCACCTGCCGCACACAAGACGCCTCACATGTAAGTCACCTGCCACACACAAGACGCCTCACATGTAAGTCACCTGCCACACACAAGACGCCTCACATATACATCACCTGCCACACACAAGACGCCTCACATATACATCACCTGCCACACACAAGACGCCTCACATATACATCACCTGCCACACACAAGACGCCTCACATATAAGTCACCTGCCACACACAAGACGCCTCACATGTAAGTCACCTGCCGCACACAAGACGCCTCACATATAAGTCACCTGCCACACACAAGACGCCTCACATATGCATCACCTGCCACACACAAGACGCCTCACATGTAAGTCACCTGCCACACACAAGACGCCTCACATGTAAGTCACCTGCCACACACAAGACGCCTCACATGTAAGTCACCTGCCACACACAAGACGCCTCACATGTAAGTCACCTGCCACACACAAGACGCCTCACATATAAGTCACCTGCCACACACAAGACGCCTCACATATAAGTCACCTGCCACCACAAGACGCCTCACATAAACTCACACCTGCACGCACACACAAGACGCTTCACATGTAAGTCACCTGCCACACACAAGACGCATCACATATAAGTCACCTGCCACACACAAGACGCCTCACATGTAAGTCACCTGCCGCACACAAGACGCCTCACATATAAGTCACCTGCCGCACACAAGACGCCTCACATGTATGTCACCTGCCGCACACGAGACGCCTCACATATACATCACCTCTTATCGGTGTTCCACATTTTCTTTGGCTTTCAATCAAGCTATTGTTCATTATGTTCCGTACCTTTACCATTTTTCTGCCATTTTTGTACAACACTTGTGTTAGGGAAGAGCAACCAGCATCATATTTTAAGGGAACTATTGTATGCACTCAGTATTTATTTTACTTTATCTCTTTTTTATGCCTCGCTGCACGAGCATTAAATATACGATAGTGTAAGCACGCTATCAGATGTTTTATACATACTCGATAATAAAAAAAAACACTTCCACCCGTTGGCAATTTTATCTTTTCCATACAGGGCCATGAACCTAACAGCCATACAAATGGGCCTCCTGTATCTTTAAAGTGCCCCCCACCTGGCACTGTTCTTGCTAGATTCATCATTTCCTGGGCCTGATTCTCTAAAAGGAAAAAACCTGCAAAATTATTCACAACACAGGGTATACTCTTCTACTGCCTGCATTTATTGACTGAAGAACTCTAAGCAATTTTTACAAGAGTTATTGGATCTGAAAATGTTAAATTTAAGCCAGAACTTTAGAATTCCAGTGTCGAAGTTGTCCTCTACTGCAGCAATGAGCTTCTGTATCTCCTCAACCCAGTGGTTGAATCAATGACATCATCTGGTAGTAAAAGCACAGCCTTAACACTAGGGTTGAGACAGCTATGACTGAGGATGGCTATGAAAATTATCGAGAGCAACAAGAACCTTAATTGTAAAAAGTTTATTGCAACAGGTACATCCATGGTGTCTTGTTAGACCACATAATACAAGTCCTCCATCACAAATCCGGCATCATTGGGACCTGTAGTGTGCCGGATTACTGAGTTTGCCGAATTACAGAGTGGTTAAGTTAGAATACACTTAATAAAATTAACCAACTTGACTTACACAGTTCATCGAACATCGGCAAAAATCGAACATTTCCGCTACTTTGAGCTCAATTTCAAGGTACTTTTCGTCATGAAAGCAATCAAAATCATGTCTATTTCTGTAATATATCTTCCATTCTATCAAATGAGTCCAAAAAATGAGAATACAACCATAAAAACCATACAAAAATATACTGCAACGAGGCGGCTAATGGCTGAGAAGTGAACTCCCTTATTTATCGTCCGTCTTTTTTATTTTTGTTGTATGTTAAGAAGCATCTTTCCATCATACATTGCCCAAGTTTCAATGAGATAGTCCAACAAACAACCGAGAAAAAAGAAATGTTTACCAAAAATCATATATGGCAAGCCCAAGCCAGGTACTGGAAATAAGTCACTTTGTCTGACTTTTCTGGGTTATCCTAGGTTCTCTATACATACACTGCTATGTATGATAATCTATGTAACTGTATTTGTGTATACCTGAATAAACTTATTTGCTTCTAGTCTGTCAACTGAGTACAAGAAACCGCCCATTCACTTATTTCAACTACCCAATAAGTGGTCAGAAATTGGCAATTTGGCCGATTTCACACAAATTTCAACAGATGCCAATTTCAAAATAGGGTCCAGAATAAACAATGCAGACATTCGTGGCACTAAAATAACATTTTCTCTGCTCATTAGTCACGGCTACAGGCCCCTCTTACATTACTCTTCCTTACCATTTGGAATTTTTATTAAAAAAAAAAAAAAAAAAAAAAAAAAAAAAAAAAAAAAAAAAAATATAGAAGATTTACTGTTATGCAGACTGCTGCATTATTGTAATAATTGTATAAATAATGTCAATCCATTCTTGACTCCGTACTGGAATTTAGACTGGCAGGTGGACAGGTATTGGACGGTGACGTCATTTGTTTACTCTTGAGCTTCGCTAAAGAATAGAACATTTCCGCTACTGTGAGCGCAATTTCAAGGTACTTTTCATCATGAAAGCAATCAAAATCATATCTATTTCTGTAATATATCTTTCATTCTATCAAATGAGACCGAAAAAATGAGAATATAACCATAAAAAACATACAAAAATATATTGCTAAGCGGCCGCTAATGGCTGAGAAGTGAACTCCGCTATTTATGGTCTGATTTCTTTCATTTTTGGTGTACATGAAGAAGTATCTTTCCATCATACATTGCCCAAGTTTGAATAAGATAACCCAACAAACAACTGAGAAAGAGGGGTAGGGGTTGTCCTCGAAAGGGTTGGAAAGAGGGGGTAAAGGAGGTTTTGTGGGCGAGGGGCTTGGACTTCCAGCAAGCGTGCATGAGCGTGTTAGATAGGAGTGAATGGAGACGAATGATACTTGGGACCTGACGATCTGTTGGAGTGTGAGCAGGGTAATATTTAGTGAAGGGATTCAGGGAAACCGGTTTTCTTATAGTCGGACTTGAGTCCTGGAAATGGGAAGTACAATGCCTGCACTTTAAAGGAGGGGTTTGGGATATTGGCAGTTTGGAGGGATATGTTGTGTATCTTTATACGTATATGCTTCTAAACTGTTGTATTCTGAGCACCTCTGCAAAAGCAGTGATAATGTGTGAGTGTGGTGAAAGTGTTGAATGATGATGAAAGTATTTTCTTTTTGGGGATTTTCTTTCTTTTTTGGGTCACCCTGCCTCGGTGGGAGACGACCAACTTGTTGGAAAAAAAAAAAAAAAAAAAAAAAAAAAAAAAAAAAAAAAAAAAAAAAAAAAAAAAAACATGTACATGGTATACAGGCCTAGCTGACATCAGTGACATACTACTATATAGAAAGGCACTTGTTATGCTGAGTATTTCAAGAAAATTAGGTCAGTGTCCCAGGATAACACCCACACTAGTCGACTAACACCCATTTACCCATTTACTGATGGGTAAACATAGACAACAGGTGTAAAGAAACATGCCTAATGTTTCTACCCTGGCTGGGAATCGAATATTTACCAAAAATCATGTATGGCTAACCCAAGCCAGGTACAGTGGAACCTCAAAAATCGAACTGCTCCCAACTCAACCAATTATGCAAGTGTATTTTTATAAGCGCTTTTATAAGTGTATTTTTGAGGGTCTGAAATGGACTAATCTAATTTACATTATTCCTGATAGGAATAAATTCATTCGGTAACGGCACTCGGACAGCCTTCTGGACTGAAGAAAGTTCGATATTTGAGGTTCCACTGTACTAAAAATGAGCCACGTTGACTTTTTTGGGGTTATTCTAGGTTCTCTACACATATGCTGCTGTGTGTTATAATCTATAGAGAGAAAATAACTTTTTTGTTTCATGTTTATGGTGGAGTACGAGTGTATATCATAGTTAGCCCTGTGCTATACTCTGTTTTCTCTAACATAAGCCCCCAAGACAAGGATAGGAGAATGGTATTTGTTTACCATATCCTCTTCATAACTCTGTCGAACTGCTCGGTGTTATGCCAAATATTATTCATTCTGGAGTATTTAACATGTTTTATGTTATTTATATTGTTTATTATGTCATATTAGATCAATTGTGATAGGCAAATAAGCTGTAGTGTTGATATTAGCGTAATAATAAAGCATATTCTCCTGCTTCTTGAGACTGAGCTCATGGCAACCGACAGTGGCTTCAAAGCCACCTTATCTTTAATGGATAATGTACTGTGTAGGTGCTTTACATAATGAGAAGCATTTCTTTTATTCATTGGAACCATGGCTAGGGCTAAAAGTAAGCAGGTTAAAACAATAAATGGAGAAAAAGAAATTGGAATGACTTATGCAGCAAGTAGCGCCACCAAACAGTACCAGCAGGTTGGTGTGGCAACCCTGGAAATTTGAAATTATGCTAGCCAAAATTAGTGCCGAATAACTGATTGTCGAATTTATGATGGCGGACCTGTAATAGGTAAAGTGGCTTAAAGCACAGGGATTCTACAAACGATAAATAGCCACAGACTTGTACCTGAAATCACCAGATGTATTAGCACATTAGGAAGCTCAATCTTTGCAATGAATTCAGCACATCTTTCTCCTGTTTGCTCATAAAAATTCTAGCAGGAATCATCTTCCATAAAAATCTTGTTCTGTCAGCATTAAACACTCGAACTGAGGTAAACATCCGTCACAAATAATTTCGTGGGCAGGAAGATGCATGCACCCCACTCAGTATTATGCAGCCAGCTGGACATGTTCCTTGCTCTGTAGTCTTAGAAATATTTTTTCCTTTGTAAGAAAATCTTTTATGCGTGCTGTCATGCAAAAACTATTACCCCTTTGGTAAATAACCCTTTTAGAAAGTAAAAAAACAAAAATATAAAGTAAAAAATGACTTTCATGGTTACCTTATACTTTCCCCAGGTAGTATATGTTTTATATGCATAATACACTGATTTATCTATCTTTTTCCAGGTTATGTTTTACATGCATAAACACTTTATTTTACTATTGCATGATGTATTTTTTATATGCATAAACACTAGCAATTTTGATACAAAAATAAAAAGAAAATATTATTGCCACAACAATAGGAAAGAAAATTAAAAATTTTTGCTAGCAAGTGACTATAAAAGATTCAAAACAGTAGTTTTTTCAGTGATCTGGCCGTAAATTACCGTCACCTATCCGATGCAAAATTCATCTTGTTCCGAAGATGCTATGTCACCGTACTCAACACGTAAAGGGTTCAACTTTACATTTCCTTCTTTTTTTACTAAACTTTGGTCTGTGGGAAAAAAAAAATAAGGAAAGTGGAAAAAAAGATTAAAAAATGAAAAGTAAAAAAAGCATTTTTGGAGCTACAAAAAATGTTGTTAAAAATGCATTTAAAAGAGGAAAAAAGAAAAGAAGGGGAGAGAGAGAAAAAGTGATGCCCCAAACATTAAAAGGGCATGTGAAACCAATAGGCCCCCCAGATCACTGGGGAATTTTCAAGGCCCGTTCCACATTGAAACTGTGGGGGTAGAAAACCCCCTATTTTAAAGTCTTTTTACCCCATTATAAAGTTTAAAAATAAATGGGAATTATCATTTTTTCACTGAGGGGAAGCACTTTACGTTCTCTTTGGCTTTAAAGAATTGCCAGCTCTTATTTTTGGCGGGGCCCATTATGAAAAATTTTGGGGGTTTTTTGGGAAAAGTAAACCTGGAAAATTTAAACTGCGACCCCAAATCAGTTTTTTTGGGAGGTTCAAGAGAAAATTTTTGAAAAAAACATTAACTATTTCAACCTTACCCCTTTTTAACCCTTTCGGGGTTTTGACGTCTATACATTACCCCGGGTAATTGACGTACTAAAAACCCTAAATTCTAGTGCCTTAAAATCAGTGAGTGAAAGTGGAGGCCTACATTGAAACTTTTGGTCTTGTGCCAGTATAAAAAAAATTTTGCAGAAACCCATGGTAGTGAAAAAAAAAACTTTGACCGTGTTTTTGGATTAAAACAGCGATTTGATTGTATTTTGTATGTATTTATGATTGTATTTAGTTTTCCTGGTCTCATTTTAGAATGGAAGACATTTCAAAAAATTAGTATTTTATTGGTTTTACAATGAAAAGTATTTTAAAATTTAGCTCAAAGTAGAAAGAAATGTTAATTTTTACCAAAGTTCAAAAGTAAATAAAGCATGCAAGCGTCCATACACATCAACTGGTGGTTAATATTCTTTACAAAGTGCGCTGATATTATTTAACCATTTCTACATAATGAGTAGTCTAATAACGAAAAATCTTCTATTTTTTGTAAGAATAAAAATTCAAGGGGAAAGAAAAAGAAATATGGGGGGCCCGGGGGACGTGATAGAAAGAGAATTGTTATTTTAGTCCCAAAAAGTTGTCGTGTTTTTTTCGGACCCTTTTTGGGGAAATTGGAAAACTTCGAAATTTATATGAAATTGGCAAAATTGCCAAATTTTCAAACCCAT